TAGTCCATGAAGAAGGAACACATTGTAAATATACAGCAGCACAGTACAAATTGGATATTTCTTATTTCAGCTGTAAAGTTTAAATAAAATCTGTTACTTTTAGGAAGGAGCAATACCATTTGATGGAAATCCTTTTAAAATAAAAGCCCAACTGTTGGCTGTGTGTGCGTATGTGTGTGTGTGAATACTATACAATCCAACTCTCAAATACACATCAAATAACACTGAAAGACAGCGAGTGTACTTTCACAGTAGTAGTTTATATGCCATAGTAAAGATATGAGGGACAAAGGCGAAAAGAGAGAGAAATAAACTGAATGAACACAAGCAAAATACCGTAGAATAAAGAGAAAAGACTGTGAAAGAAATGTACCAAAAGAGGACATTTTTGAGCGTGCTCTTTCTGAATAAGTCCTGCTCATGTACAGATATTCCATTGCAGTGTTACTACCCCTGCCTCTTGAACCACATGTCCCCCCCTGCTGGCCCAGGATCAGATCTTGCACAAGTTCCTCTGCTGTATCTCTGCCCCCCTAAAAACCTTTAGAAGAAAGGATGCCTTACTCACTAAACTAACACCAAAAAATCTGATAAATACATCGGTATAGTCTTGTTTATATTGCATATTTGTGACGGAAGATCACATTATATTATTAATTTTTCGTCACTGACCTCTGCGTTTTCCTGAATAAATTGTTATGAGCACTGAAGTGTGAACATATAGCCAACATGTCTGATTGTACCTGAACATCTTTCTTTTTCTACTTTATACGGTTAATATTGTTCCGTATCACTGAAACTGGTCAAATAAATTGTGTAATAAAAAAACTTAAGCTCTGAAGCTGTGAAGCAGTTTACATCTGCACCCATGGCACAATTACAGCCAACCTTAATGTTTTTGTTTTGTGGATGAAGCACTGCAGTAATAACTACCTTTCTAAACACAGCTGTATCTACAGTAGTTCTACATTTACCTCACAGAAAAACAAATTCTAGCATTTCACATTCACCAAAAGTATTCACTCTTATTTTAAGTTAGCTGGCATAGACTGCAACATAAGGCATTAAAGTTACAGCTAAACCTTGGCTTTCATTAATACTGTTTACTAATACTGTCTACTAAAAATTGTAATAAATGAAGCCTGAATATGATCAGCCTGAATGAGTAGACATAGATTATGAATCTGAATAAAACATCTCAAAGACAAGGAGCAATAATTTGTAAGCTGCAGCTCTCCTGTCTGTCTGTCTGTCTGTCTGTCTGTCTGCAGACTTTGGGATGGAAATATTAGTGACGTAAGTCGGCTCCATCAATCAGCGGGCAGGCCGCTTTGACAGACAGGGACAGACAGATGTTGGGGCGGTACTTGGTATTTCTTTTACCACATAATAGACGACCTCAGACACGTTCTCTGCGCACATTATCAGTTCTTTGCGAACAGGCAGTGGCTCCAAAATACCGCGCGTAAAGACGCAGAAATCTTCTGAGGAGCATCGCTGCTGTGCGCATTGAGGAGGAGACGCTTTCCCCCCCTTTGTTACCTGTCCACTGTGGAAACGTGAGGCTGGAGGGCTAAATTCAGAAACTCACCAGAATCAGTTAAACCAGGAACTGGCTGGGCGGTTTGCAGAAAGTTTGTAATCCAGTTTCTTGTAAATGATCCGGTCCGTTAAAGCCCGAGCTGGAGCCGGTGAGGCTGGGTGAATAGTGTCCTAAAGTCCTATGGCTGGAAGAAGATCCAGTCTGAACTGAGCCAGTTCTCATGCCATCCAAGTTATGTTGTGATTATCACCGCACCCTCTTTCACTCAGTAATAAAAAACAAACTTTTTTTCCCTCTCCTCTTCCTTCACTATCCTCTGTAGCAGTGTGCAGTAAACGGATATATCATGCTGTCTCATTTGAGATAACATTAGCCTAGTTGTGTGCCCTTTATAAACACTTTATGGTGGATAATACTTAGGATGGAGTGTAGGCTATTAATGGAGCCTCTTGTGGATCCAGAGCCCCTCCCCTTCACCAGAAGCCTCACTAAAAAGGTGTAACGAATCGATCCGCAGCCTCCTTTGTCCCACTAAAGAGGTCACCGAAAATAACCACATTTGGGCAAACTTTAAACAGAGCAAAGAGCTGATCTGCACTGCATACTTAAGACTATCCGAACAAGTGAAGCCCCCCTTGTTTTTCTTACATTTTGTGCTGGAGTGAGAATAAAAAGTGAGTAAGGAGTGTTATAAAATGTATTATTCAAGAAAGAAAAAAAAACTTGCTATAATGTCATTTACCATCAAGATTTTAAGCCCCGCTGTTTACTATTAGTGATTGATGTTTCAGGATATAATCCCAATAATCAGTCAGGCTTTATTTCTCTGTGCAGCAAAGATTATCCTCCATGTGCGGGATCAACAAAGTCTAATAGGTTTATTTTGTTGATTTTAGCGAGTGTATATGCAGATCTCTCTCTTTTTTAATGTATTTATTTGTATGTATTTTGCAAATTAAAAAGCAGGATTGGAGGGTCGCATTGTCGACTATACCCTCACTGACTTAATGTGACTGGGAAAACGCTGTAGCAGCAACTATTCAAACCAAATCTCATTTAGATTTTCAGAAATCTATCTCTCACACGCGTGGGCTGCACGTCAACTTTCCGAGGCAGCTCTCATTCTGTTGTTTAAGTGCGAGTTTACAAATCGGCCACTCGCGTATACGCGCCTCTCCCGCGTTTACGTGCGGGGACAGGACGGCGTAGAAATGAAAGCCATCCCAGTGAACAATTAAAGCAGCAGATTGACAGGTGGGCTTTGACTGTCAGGGTGACGCTTGTTGGAGGGGTGGAGTAAAGGAGAGGCCGGAAAGGCAGCTGGATGTGTCTGTCTATCAGTGGGAGCTGTCTGAACGCACCGCGCATCACCAATGTGCGCACATTTCACTGCGGAGAATATCCAGGGACGCTCGCAGCGCTCTTTAGAATAAATAATAATAAAAAACAACAAAAAAGAAGAAGGGGGGAAAAAAGCAGGAGAAACAGTAAGCCACAGTCTGCGGCTCAGAGGGCGGGCCCCGCTCCGTTTGGGGTTTTTTGTGATGAGTTTCTGAGAAATTCGTCAAGTGTCCATGCTGACAATCGGACCGACAGACAGCGTATATGTGAGTATTTCATTATCCAGGGGGGTGTTTTTCAGGGAGACGGGGTGTGAGCCGATTGCTGCGGGGGTTTCTCTCCGCGCACACACACTTGACTGATTGACACACACCCAGCCCGGCTAACGTGTCACTCTTTCCTCTTTTTCCTGATTTCCTCCCAAAGACCGTAGCGGAGGTTGGAGACCGGAGCTGGCACCTGGACGGACGGACGGACGGACAGACGGAGAGAGAAACACTACAGCGCAGTTCTTATTATTTTCTGGGACTCGTCTCCAAAAAACGCACGAAGAGGAACTCTCCGTTTTTCTTGACTTTTGCTGCGATCAGAGGTGTGTTATAGTCAAGTGAGCGGTGTGAGCGGATGGGAAACGCGGCGGAGGGGGCAGCTGTACATATCCCCACTCATTCTCTCTTCTCTCTCTCTAATTCTCTCTCTCTTCCGACTGACCTAGAGATCCGCACGGAGCCTGTTTTTTTCCGCCCAAGTTTCTCCCCCGACCCCAGCCTGCGATGCAGTTCTTCTGTGATCGGCAAGAAGATTAACGGACGAGCCCCATTTTGCTCGAAAGTGATCATGATAATCTTCGAGTTTTTTTCTTTTCCACCGGACAAACCAGATCCCTAACAATAGATCCAGTAGAGATTTTAAAAACCACTCTCATCTATCATCCGCTCTTGCATTTTAAAAAAATAAAATAAAACAGACTTCTTCAACTTACCACCTGGAAGGGACGGCTAATACATACTGGAAGGTGTGATAAGAACCCCCCCTCCGCCTTCTCCTGCGAGTGACCCTACACTTTAATTTCCACGCATCCCCCGCGAAGAACCGAGGAATTAGCTGTCTGCTCCAGGCTTTTGCATGTTCCTACTCCGTGTGCATTTGGCTCTCTGGGGGTCTGCCTCTCCAAGAGTCGTAACCGCTTATTTTGATCGTCTGCATTTGAATAGACGTTCAAGGCGTGAATAGATCTTGTAGCAACATGCCGAGGAGAAAGCGAGCAAGCTACCTTGCAGGCGGTTCATTCCATGTGTAATGCTGGTCGCTCTATCAACTAAACACGTTCACAACTCGAAACGACCACACCAACACCACACTATCCACAGCATCACAGTCACGATATCTTAAAAAAGACGTGTCTGGGACGCGCATCATATATCATCAAATATGTAAGTGCCAAGATACCACAGGCTCAGCCTACAGGCGCTGAGTGCCAGGACAGACACCACAACACAGGCTTCCCTCTTGTATAGACAGCCCGTCTTCATGTGCCCATTTAAGTCATGTTCCTATTTGCTTGTACCATGAGTTTTCCGCACAACAATTCCTCTTAACATCCCCAATACATACCAGGGTATAGACTTATTTCCGCTCATCAATGGGCAGTGTTATTTCCGCGAACTGGCACCAAAAGCAATATGTTTCATCCTTACGCATGTCCAACCGCCCTTTCGGTAGGTCTCCGAATTCCTGTGTCTCTGAAGAAATGAAATGCGGTTTAGCTGCACTTCAGCCTGTCAACGCCTTTCTTAAAGCTGATCCTCCACTAGGATTGCCCGAGCATCCAAGTTCTCCAAAACAAAGCTCATCCTTATCTCAATTTTTACACAGCCTAACGTGCTGAATGTGTTGTAGGCAGTTACAAAAGAGAAGAAAGAAAAAAACGAAAGAAAAGAAAGGTTAGAATAGGAAGTGTGTATTTTCAGCCTTGATGTTCCGCCTCTGTTGCCATCCCTTAGATATTGATGCTTGATTGATCGCCCTTA